TGTCATCAAGGTCGGGGTGTTGTGAATCCATTCGTTGGTTTGTATCTTCTCAACTATCCAGACATCCAGTGCACGTCACGTCTTCAGCCACGGCTTACCCGCCTTCTCCGCCTCCTTCTCCCTCTTCTTCGCCGCCCGCCTCTCCTCCTTAGCCTTCCTCTCCTCCTCCTCCTCGCCCGGCAGCTTCCTCTTGACGCGGCCCTTCTGCGCCTTGTCGCACAGGCGGGGCACAGGCGTCCCAGCAGGCCACCCCTCAGGGAGCCGCACGTAGCCGACGCGCTGGTACCTGTCGCTGTTGCCGAAGAAGTCAACCCAGTGCTTCAGGGCGTCGTGGACCTTCTGGGCGGCGGCCTCGCGCTCGGCGGCGCGCAGCGCTTCGAGCTCGGCGTACGACCAGTGGCGGTCGACGTCGGCGTCGTCGAGCGGCAGGTACATGGCCTCGACGCCGCGCATGTCGGGGACGCGGTCCTCGGCGAAGCAGCCCGTGACGAAGGCGCGCGAGGCGTCGTGCCCGGCGAAGAGGTGGTAGCTGCCGCCCGGGCCGTAGCTGCGCGGGTTCGCCGACACGTCGTAGATGGTGTGGTTGATGGCGAGGTAGATGGGCGTGTCGGGGGTTGTGCCGTCGTAGGCGCGGAGCTCGGCGGGGGTCAGGTAGAGGGGGCCGTTCTGGGGCGCGTCGGTCAGCTGGGAGCCTGGAGACACATGGCGATAGCTGGGAGGGAGAGAGAGAGGGAGAGAGAGAGAGAGAGAGGGAGAGAGAGAGAGAGATGCATACCCAACGCAGCTTCCAGTACGACGGCCGCAGGTACCACGGCTTGTCGTCGAAGCCCCAGGTGAAGCTCTCGCCGCTGCTCATGACGTAGCTCAGGGCGCAGCTGGCGACGGCGAGGAAGCTGAGGACGCGCAGCACGTCGATCAACGGGCTGAAGGCATCGGTCTCGCCGTCGTCCGTCCGCGCGGCCTTGGCTTTTGTTCCCGACCTGGCCTTGGCCTTGGTCTTGCGACTGAGCTTCTCGGACGGGGTGCCGGCAAACAGGTTGTCCTCGACCTCGGAGCCGCACTCTTCATCGGGGACGATGGGGACGGCGACGGGCTCTTTCTTCCGCTGCCGGGCGGTGGTTGCTTCGGCCATGGCTGCGAGCGGTGTCGGTCTTGTACTGCAGGATTGGAGATCGAGGACGAAGGAGGCGAAGCTGTTGGTGAGGGTACGTGTCGGGTCGAGTTGAAGGAATAAAGCTGGGTTTCGAGCTGTCCGGCACGGCGACGTGTAAGTGGGATTGGGAGCAATCTGATAGGGTGCCGGATGGCCTGCATCCGAGAGACAGGCGGATCAGTTCGAGGACGACAGCACGGCTTCTACGGGTCGGCAGATGAATAAGGAAGAAATGGTCTGGAAATGGGGCAGTGCTCCACTGACGACAGCAGGCCAGGGTCAAGTACAAGATCGCAAGGGCCTGCTTCGGGGATCTCTGAGGGGAGTGTATTTCTGAGATGGTCAATTGCCAGCAAGGGGTTTACGAGCTTCTCCCAAACTAAGGTACCTAAATAAGGCACCTAGGTAGGTAGATAGGTATATAGGTACCTAGGTACCCAAGGTAGATGGTCCCAGAGCCTCGCAACTCTTATTGGCATGAGCCGAGATTGAGGGGCTCATGCGGGTAGTGGCTTAGCAGTACAACGCAGCCACCAGTACACGACCACAGTGCATACCTCAGTGTTTTCGAACCGTATCAGAGTACAATGAGGAAACGTCGAAGCTCGTACATCCAATTTTGTAGTTCTTCAATTGGAGTGACCTATCCTCGACTCCGTCATCCCAACGCACCATCAATTCGGGGTGCAGGAGGTGGTTGAGGCTACGAAGAACACAACCAGTGGCGAGGACGGTTCCCGATTTTATCAGCGAGAATCATTCAGGCCAACCTAACAAGCCACAGCTATCACAATACGAGTCCTGGCTTCACATCCATCGTGATTCCGCCGAAGGAACAACAGACCACGTCTCCCCAGTAAACTCCAGACGGCCATCCGCCCTCAGCCTCTCCGGATCCATATACACGCACAGCCCAATGCCGCCACGTTCGATACTAAATACGCGTAGGAGCGTGTACACCTCATCATTCCCACGCGCATTGCGAATGTCCTGCATCTACAAGGACCAAGTCAGCAACAATCCAACAGCGGCTCTAGGGGCACCATCAGAAGGGTTGATGACGTCACGTACCCGCTGGTATTGAGCCTTGCTCATGTAGAAGGGCGTATTGTAAGGCCCCGTGGTCGTCTTGACTTCGATGTAGTATTTCGGCCGGGCATCCCGCCACCCTTCCCCGTCAAGATAGCCATGGTCCTCGAGCCATGTTGTGAGCTCGCCACGCACGTCTTGATACGTCATGTCGGCCGTCTCTTGCCCATTCCATGGCGGCATGTCCTGATAATCCGGGTGGAGCGTGACGTACTGCCGGATCGTGCTCTGCCAGTTATCGCGACTCCACCCGTGGAGGCTGGGAAGTAGTCGGGACAGCATCTCAAAGACCTGTATGGAACCGAGTGCATCTTGTCAGCTTTTGGTTTGGGTTGTTCGGCCCAGAGACTTTGGCTGGGTGCAAAGTCTCTGGGTATAGGGGAAACTCACGTATAGCTCGCCAGCGGCACCAATTTCCCCGTCAGGCTCAAGTTGACTCGTAGAGCGGAACCGGCTCTCGTTGCCGGGGCCGTCAAAACCGCCGTGCCAGGCGTTGATTGGTCTTTCTAGAAGTGCGTCTCGGAGGTTGCTCATGCCAAAGATGCCTTGCGACGGGAACACGGCTTGCCTCGCCGCGTCGACGACCTTCGTCAGCAGCCGAAGGTACTGAGCATCCTCACTTGTTGACCCTTGAAGATTCGTCGCATGATATGCTGGGAGGGTAGAGTGTGGCTGGACGACCGAATGGTAGGCCATATGGCTATGTCGAGAGACCGTGTGCGTGACCTCAACGTCGTTGCTCGACAAGTTGGGATGCGTTCCAGAAAGGGGCGCCAGTCGGATCTCGGTCGCCATGGCCGGTCCTCGCTCGCTCGCTGACGTGTCCGGCGTCATGAGCTGCACCAAAGATTCAGCATCGTCACCTATTACGGCAACGGAAGCTTCATCCTCCTCATCTTCGGCCACATTCACGTCCTCGTTCTGGATAGATATGTTTATGATGCCGAGGCGCTCAAGAAGTAAATCGACCGACGCTGGATCGGCGCCCAAAATCGTAACAAGTGCCGTGACCGCGGATTCCTCAACTGCTTCAGGGATCTGGGTCACAGAATCCCGCATCAGCCAACTCGCCAGATTTGTGGGGCAGGGCGCTCAGGTAGCAGATTTCTCTTGCCTTCTTGTGCCTCGGCACGAAGAAGGAGAGGTGCGACGAGCTGTCATCAATGTGCAGGTCACCAATCGCAGTCTCTAGCTCCGTAGACCGCCCGTCCTGGGATATCCGTAGCACGGACGAAATGCCGGTGGTTTCAGTGGTCACAGCGCTCCGCAGCAGCTGGTACAACTCGCTGGGTCCGGCTTTGTATCGGGGACTGTTGAAATGAGCCGCGATACTGGACGAGTACGTCGGCGAGTTAGTGACATAGTAAACATGATCAGAAAGAAGCCAGAGTCAAAACGGGCACTCACCGAGAGATCGCATGCGCTTTCCGCTTGATATCGTGGTTTGGGGTGGAGATGGGCCTCGAGTCGGCTTCGGCAACCGACGTGCTCTCCCTCACGGCAGCTGACAGATATCGATTCGCGAGTCCAACCCATCCGAGAAAAGGCTTCAGACGCAGGACCTCCTCTCTGCTGAAGTCGAGCAACTTGATCCGGCTCCTGAATTTATCCGCCAATGACTCGTTATCGACGATGGCAAAATCCGTTTCGATCGTCCTCTCAGCTGTAGCGCCACTCGCGTACTTCACGGGGAAAATGGGTATCCTACGGAGCGGCACAGGGTCAGGGAGCTCCTGCTCTGTCTGCAAGAGCGCGTTCAGCGACCAGAGTTTGGCCTTGACATCGTCAGTCGACGCCTGCGCGTCTGTCTGCAGCAGCTCGTCATATACCATCTGGAGTGTTAGCGTCTTGACGCCGAGATTTTCCACGAACAGCTCTCTCAAGTCTTCGTAGTCATCATTCAACGTGACCTTGCCACTGATATCTGTCGTACTGGACCGCAGGCAGTCACATGTCTTGTACCAGCCGGCCTGACCGTCCTTCACGACGAATATAAGGGCGTTGTCCTCGAATGTTCGCCTATTTGCATGCAAATCAGTACTTGCGCGGAGGAAATTGATGTTTCGAGTCTGCAACCCGAGAATCTTGCCTTAGTTCGTCTTGGAACGCGATGACCTTCAAGTTCGCGAGGTACAGGTACACGCCACGGATGCGGTCGAGGTCATCGCAGCCCTGATCCCTTAGTTTCGCCAGCTCTCCCTGCAGATCCCTCCAGGACACATCATCAATCTTGAGTGTTTTCGAAAAGAAACGTGAAAGAATCATCATTTGGTCCTCGCTGCCCACTTGGGAATAGAGTTGCTCGAGTGGGAATAACGAAACCATGTCGGGTGATGCCTTCCAGCGACAAGAACTGGCAACCGTCCAGGCCGCCTCGGATGCTCCTCGTGAGGGGATCAGGATGACAGCCTCTTCAGTCTCCCAGAATAAATGCCTACAGGAAGCGAAACAGTCAATTATCAAGAGCTCTCAAAAAAGGTCCACGAGAGTTGGAGTTACGCACTCAATGGCATCCTTGGCAGCTTGTCGATCTGTAGCGGCCTGGAATTTAGTTTCAATGGCGCCATATATATCCATTATCGTCTGGCATTTGTCGGCCAGCGCACTTGCGGAGTCGACATTCGATATTCGAAGGAGCATGTCCAGGAGAAACCGTGTGTCGTCCTCTTTGCGCACATGGAATTTTGTGTGGAGGAACAGCCACTTTGTAAGGAAGGCCTCTTCATCCTCAGTTCCTCCGAGACTGAGAAATGGGAAATGTGTAGAGTCATTTCCCATAAAGCGCCGGCATTGTTGTTGGAGGTGTGGTAGCGGCAGATACGAGTCCTTCAAATAACAGGAGATCTCCAAGGGAGGCTTACAAAGCGCATATGCCGGGAGCCCGCTCAACTCTTCTCTGAGATGGTGTTTGTCTTTGAACAATGACTCTTCGTGCTGCCAGAGGTACTCGAACAGGCCCAGCCACTTATCCGGGCGGTAGTCCAGGACAGAGGCAAACTCGCCCGAAATTTCGCGTCGGTCCCGAGAGATAAGCCTCAACCTCCTACGGACGCCGAAGTAATTATAGAGCCAAACCTTCCACGAGGGATGACCTGCAGTCGGGGGGCTAGGTGGAGATTCAAGATATGCTGGATGAAGAAACGTGACCTCAAGGCCTGGCCAAGTACCAATTGGTCCGAGAAGAGCTTCCGGCCCGTATGGGTTACTACCGTGCAGGTAGAAGTCTTCTTCTCCTGTCTTCCCAGTGGCATTGTTTTCTTTGTAGAGAAACATCTGACCGAGCCTTTCACCGGGTTGCCTGCGATCGTGAGAGAGGTACAAGAAATGGAGTTGGGCCCTGGATTTCTCGACGTCGACATGTTTGGGCGAAGACGGGCTGTACAGAGCCTCCAAGACGGACTTGCGTACCTCCGAGACAGATGCTTCTACCGCCCCTAGATGCTCGAAGAGAGCTCTGCGGTCCGCATTGGCAACAGCTGTGGGGTCTAGGACATGCTTTTTAACGCCCGGCGGGATTGAGATCCCGGCAGTTGCTGGCAGATAGATCACTCCGTCGTTGGCAGCGACCCACAGACCGCCCTTCAAAGGAAGCATAACAGAAAGCCTCAGCGAAGAAATGGCTAGCGTCACTTTTTCGGTGAAGAAGGATGCCAAGAGCCGTGCAACTGCCGAGTGCCAGTCCTCGCTGGTCGAGGGCGACTTCAACTTTGACTGAGGGCTGGCAAGATCGGCCTGAAGAAGATTCCAGATGTTCCAAAATTCGCATGCGCGCAGCCCGTATGGTTTCAGGGCTGTGACCGAAGCCTGCTTGTATGCCGTGGAGATAAAGGGGTCCAGTACTGAGTCATCGAACAGCGAGGCCCCGTTATGGTCGGCGGCAATGTCAGTAATGATGTGAACATTTCTGATCGTCCGGAGACCTCTTTTGTGTCGTGACTTGAGAATGGGTGTCTGAGAGACGAGGTCTTTGATCCTTGAAATACGACCTGGTTTGAATCCTGCCTGTTGAATGACAGAGGATACCAACGCTCGTAGATCTCGCCAAATGTCAAAATATGTTGATATCCAAAGGCTTGGAGAACATGCCTAAATCCAGCAGAGGTTACAGGTATCGCGTATGTCTGAAGCATCTTGGGCCAGAAGCGATTGATGTCAGGATAGCCGTCAAGTACAGCATGCGAAAGGTCGCTACTGAGGCGTGGCTGAGCAAGAGCGGCAAGGCTGGTGGGGAGGCTTGGTACGTACCCTTTGGCCTTGGCCAGATGCTGGAGAGCCGTTGCCGTTGACAGGGCTGACAAAATCACGTGCCATCACCGTGGCAACACACTCGCCCCATGTAGCATGGAACAGCAACTGACAGGGAAAGATGGGGTAAACACGCTCGACACTAAAGCAGCCCCCCCATCCATTCATCCACAGCCGACATGCTCGACACGACACGACAGGCCACCAACGAGATTCCATCCACCATCTGAAGACAGCCCGTCCATCCATAGCACTTTCTAGTCTGTACTCAAAAGTCAAAATCTTGCTATACCTCCGCCCTCTTCCAGCCGCTTTCAGTCGGGACTCCATGCCAGCACCAGCATCGACATCATCCACGTCAGACAACCAGGCCTCACAACATACCACACCCGAGACCAGAACCGCTACATTCCTCCCCAGTGCGGCCCACGACGCTGCCTGCGCCGCTGCACAATGGACTCACCACGCAGCCACCTGGGCTCGCCGGGCGGGCCCCTCAATCCAATAACGCCCGACCGCGCCAACCGCGAGTCTACCTTTATGGCGTCGCTGCGAAGTGACCTCCGCTCCAGCCCTGTGCACGATAAGATCAGCCAGTTCAACACCCTCGCCATGCAGTCCAAGTCGCTCGAGCGCAAGACGGCCGACGCCGCCCTCAAGCGAGCCATGCTCGGCCGCGAGGAGGCCGAGGGCGAGATGCGTCGTTACCGAGACGAGACCAAGGTCCTGCGAGTCCAGCTCGAAAAGGCCCGCGACCGCGAGATGCGCGTCAGCGAGCGCCTCGAGGCTGTCATGGTATGCTCTCTCTCTCTCTCTCTCTCTCTCTCCCCCCCCCCCCCCAAGAAAGAGAAGGAAAAAAATAGCTGACCCCCCCAGGAACAACACGGCCGCGCCAAGGAGACGTACGCCCACACCAAGGCCGCCTGGGAAAAGGAAATCAAGCACGCCCGCAAAAAGACGTTCAAAAACGACGCCGCCATCATCAAGCTCCAGGAAGAACTCAAGGCCGCCCGCGACGGCTGGCGCTCCGTCTCCGACCACCTCGACAACGAAAAGGCCCGCAGCAAGGCCCGCGAGCAGGAGGCCTTTGCCGCCCGCTACCAGATGGTCAGCCTCGAGGAGAAGCTCGGCGAGGCCCTCGAGCGCATCAAGGTCCTCGAGCAGGAGCGCGACGCCATGCGCATGGAGCGCGACACCTTCCGCGACCTCGCCAAGGAGGAGGAGGTCGCCCGCATCGCCGCCGAGGGCCGCATCCCGCTGCCCAAGAACGAGGACCACGACGACGAGTTTGCGTCGCCGAGGAAGAAGAAGCCCAGGGTCTCGCTGTCGACGGCCGACGTCGTCTCGAGCGCCGCTAGCGAGGCCGAGTTTGAGGAGATGATGCGCAAGATGGAGTGGGAGCACCAGCGCGCCGAGCGCGCCTACGAGACCATTGACTTTCTCAAGGCAGAGTGCCAGCTCAAGGCCTGCGAGGGCGCCCGGTCGCTCAAGAGGAAGAGCATGATGTCGCCTCGTCGCATCCTCGTCGCGCCACAGGACGTCACCGGCCCCGCCGAGATGGCCATTTTCGGTCTCACCCCCAAGTCCGCCTCGCCGACACGACCTTCATCTCGAGACTCCGAGTCTACATTCAAAAAGCCAGAACGTCCTGCCGTCAGGAAGCGAAGCCAGCCCCGACGCAGCACCATCTTCAACCCCGAGGAGGGGACGTTCCGTACCGTCTCACAGGAGGAGGCCCCAAGTCCTGGCGGCGACAGAAGGCGCGGCCATGCACATTATGGAGCAGGATGCCGAGGACTCGACGGACGAGCAAGTCGTGGAAGAGATCGACATGCAGATGGAGGACCTAGTCGACGTCGCCGTGCAACCTGAGGAGCAAGACACCCAGATCGAAGAGCAACTACAAGTCCAGGTGGACGACGCCAGCGAGCCGGCTAGTCCTGTAGACGCACCCTCAGAACGTCGCATGTACGCGCGTACCCCCTCCGTCGAGCCTCCCGCCTTTGCCCTCCTCGCGCAGGAGCGCATGTCGTTGGCCTCTCTGCTCAACGCGCCCCACGGCGATGCACACACCGCTCCGCTTCCCAGCATACCTACTGTGCCTGACGAAGTCGGACAGGCCGAGGAAGAAGAAGAAGAAGGGGATGAGCAAGCAGAGGTCAGGGAAGCCGAAGAACGAGAGGCGCCAAAAGTCGCCTCACCGCCAAGGAAGCGCTCGCCGCGCAGCTCAACAACATCCGTCGCCACCAGCTACCGCACGTCGACGACGACAACGACGATTCCCATCTACGACGAAACCGAACGGCCGGCATCCCGCTTCGCCCGCTGCCGCACCCCCTCGGGCGAGTCCCACTCGTCCTTTGACGTCAACAACCCGGCCATGACGCCGACCATGACGCGCGAGGAGGCCCTCGCCCGCATCCGCGAGCGCCGCGGCCGCGCCCGCAGCGCCGCCCAGGGCGCCGTGACGCCCCGGCTCAAGATGGTCGAGGGCGCCGGCGAGAGGCGCGACCTCAGCGCGCCGCAGCCCCAGGCGAAACCCACGAGCATGAGCAAGGCGGCGGGGCGGGTACGTCACGCGCGGTGAGGGACCGTCCTGGCGTGGCGTGGCCGGTGTATATCACGACAGTACGGTGGCTCATGTTTGCGCGGCGTTGGACGATCTCGGGGGCCCCGCGAGGCCTCGTTCTTTTTTGCTTTCCTTCCTTTCCATGCATTTGTTTTTCTGCGCATGGCGTTGGGGATGCATGGCGTCACGGGCTGGGATGATTATTTCCGTGCCCTCCCCTTTCTGTATTTTCCAGCGGGGGAAGGTTATTTGTTCTGGGGAGGATTGAGATATGATTATCATGGCTTGTAGAGACCAAGGCGGTGACGCCGGTAATTGATGTTTTCATGATTATGCTTCGGGCTGTCTTCGTCTCGGCTGCTCTGGAGAGGCCCTGCCGGTTTTTTTGACGGTGACCGTTCCGAGTGCCAGGTTTATGACACCGGCGTCATACAGGCACGGCATTCCGGGAAGCGAGGACCTGAAGTGACTGATTATAGCTCTTCAGCTTCGTCCTTGCGTCTGGCTTAGTCGACAGATGACTGGCGAAACATATGCGTACACGAAGCACTCCACAGTCCTAGAAAGAGCCAATGCACAAAAGATCAAGAAGATACAGGGTTGGAATGTCCAGAATGTCTCATAAATCACATGGTAAGTTTCGCCAGGGTATACAAGGATTTCAACGCCGTCAAAAAGCCAAAGCCAGTCCCCGTAAACGCCATCGTTCTGCCAGTCACATCCTAGCACCATGATACACCTCACATTAACCCAAGGGGTCGCCCGACTGGGGGACACAGAAGGGCAAAAGGCCCCTCACCGCCGGAGGAACCCCCTCTTCGCATTCCGCGACCTCTCACTGCTATACGCCTCCAGCTTGACCGGCACGAGCACGGCCTCGACGTCGCTCTTGCCGCCCTGCGCGCCGCGGATGCGCAGCCGCCAGTGGCCCGCCGAGATGACCCACTGGTCGTCCACGGCAGCGGCGGCGGTGGCGGATGTCCCATTGCTGTCGACGCGGCGTCGCTTGCGCGGGCCGAAGACGTCCTCGGTGGCGGCGTCCACGGGCGGGGAAGCCGACGACGGGTGTTCGTCGGCCGACAGCGGCAGGCTGTGTGCCTTGCCGTTGAGGGTGATGTCGGCGTCGTCCTCAAAGGCGACGCGCACGAGGTCGTCGGACAGCGGCGTGTGGCCCGGGGTCGGCGGCTGGCTGCTGCGGCCGCCGGTGGCCATGAGCAGGCCGAGGGGCTGGGTCGTCGGCGGCAGGTCGAGCTTGGTGGCGAGGACCTCGAAGAGGCGGGCGACGCGCGAGCGCGTGTCGCGAAAGAACTCGACGCGGGGCCCGTCGGGCGTCAGGTGCAGCACGGTGGCCTCGTCGGCGGCAATCTCGAGGATGAGGTCGGCCGGGTGGGGGTCGGTGAAGGGGCGGGCGTAGGTGACGCGGCCCGACACGGGGTCCTCGGGGTCCTGGTCGTTGGTGATGGAGATGCCGCTCTTGAGTATGTCCTCGAGGCGCAGGAGGATCTCGTGGCGCGCGCGCGTCTGGTTGTAGGAGAGGGTGTGGGGGATGAGGCGTTGCTCGAGGCCCTTGAAGTTGAAGTAGCGGCAGTCGCGGAGGAGGTCGGCGCGATGCGTCTCGTTGCGGATGTGGACGGGATAGCCGCTGAGGAAGTGGACGAGGTCTGCGAAGATGTCGGCCGAGCGATTGGGCACCGAAGGCGGCAGGATCGAGGGGGGCCGGATGAGATGCTCGCGCTCGAGACCAGGGAAGAGATCTTTCGGGTTGGAGAAGAAGACGGCGAAGCCGAGGGTGAAGAAGTTGGGAGAGTTGCCCGGGTCGTTGAAGAGCTCGCGCGGGATCTGGAACTCGCGGTGGCCGATGGAAATGAAGATGGACTCGTCAAAGAGCTGGGAGATGAGCTTGGGCAAGCTGTAGAACTGGGCGTCGGCAAACAGGCGCACAAAGTGGGTGCCGTCGCGCGGCTGAACGTGGTAGCCCTGGAGGTGAAGGGATATGTCGTGAAAGGTCTCGGGATCGCGGTCGATGTAGAGCGTGCGAATGGCCGTCGACAAGTCTTCGCCCGTCTCTTGCGCGCGATTGATCTGGCAGTAGAAGTATTGGGAGAAGTACGAGGGTGCGTCGGAGGATATGGAGGCCCCCGAGAGCTTGAAGAGCTGGGAGCCGATCTGGATTGGGAAGACGCGCTCGTGGGGGAGGATGCGCGGGATCTTGATGACGTCCTTCTGTGTCGTTGGCGGACTGCGCGCGCGGGGGAGACTGAAGGTTGTCGGCGTTGTCGAAGGCGAGGGGTCACCGCTGAGCGTGATGCCGTTTTGAGAGGCGCCAGAAGCCATGGCAGGAGCGTCGACCGTTGTCGCAATGCTGAAATCTAGATGCGCAGCCGTTGGTTCATGGCGTGATCTCCCAGGGGGGGGGGGTGTGTGGAGGGAGGGACGCTGGCTCACCCTGCATGTTGCTTGAGAAGGGATGGCCAAAGGTCATGGCCTGGCCCGAGTCAATGGGAGCATCAACCTGGCTAGGTGGTGGCATTGCGATGGGGAGCCGGAGCTGGATCCTGGGCCATCTCAGCAAGTGCCTGAATGGCAGGCCGGAGCAACATGATGCGTCGTCGTCGTATGCAGGGTTCAGGGGGTTTGATCTCTTTAGATGGATATCTGCATATGCGTTTATCCCTTCCGACCTGACAACACAGCCCACATTCCCAACTTTCACACTCCCCGGAATATCTTACACACATCTGAACATCAGCAAGCCCTCGTCAAACGTAGGGTGAATCCAGGGAGCTGCAGTTACGGCTTTGAACTTTTTCTCCGTGGCCTAAAATCTGGGGCCGCTCGGAGAAGGCTGTCACCATCATGTGGGCTGCCACCATCATGTGGGCTGCCACCATTATACACACAGCGCCGACGGATCCCCGAACCCCTCTTCTCGATCAGCCAGCCAGGTCACCCTAAGTAGCCATCGCACTCTCATCAATGCCCATAAACCACTTCACCGTGTTCTAAAATCTCACCATTCTTCTCTCCCGTGACCTCACTGCACAGAACCCCCACCAGCTCGACACACCCCACCATGCCGCCCATCGACAACGAGATCAACGGCAAGCTGGCCCTCGTGACCGGCGCCTCAGGAGGGTGAAGCTCACACCTCCACTCCCACTTCTCCAGCCCACACGTCCCCGTCCCCGCAGGCTAACAAGAGCACCACCACCACCCAGCATCGGCAAAGCCTGCGCAACAGACCTCTGGTCCCAGGGCGCCCACCTCGCCCTGACCTACACCACCAACCTCGCCTCCGTGACGCGCCTCGTGGCCGCCCTGCGCGCCGCGTCCCCCGACCGGCCGGCGTCCCACGTCTCCGTGCACGCCCTCGACCTCGCCTCGCAGGCCAGCATCGAGGCCCTCTTCGCCGCCCTGTCCGCCCACCACGGCCGCCCGGCGCCCGACATACTCGTCTCTAACGCCGGCACCGCCGGCTTTGGCAACCGCGCGAACCCCCGCCTCGAGGCCATCTCGCTCGACGAGTTCGACTACACCATCGCCATCAACCTGCGCGCCGCCTTTCTCCTCGCCAAGCTCACCGTGCCGCACATGAAGGCCCGCCGCTGGGGCCGCATCGTCTACGTCTCCTCCATCTCGGCCATCGGCGGCGGCATCAACGGCTGCCACTACGCCGCCAGCAAGGCCGGCCTCACCGGCCTCATGAAGAACCTCGCCGCCAAGCACGCCAACGACGGCATCACCGTCAACGACGTCGCCCCCGCCATGATCGGCGACACCGGCATGATCCCCGACGAGAAGAGGGTCGAGGGCACCCCCGGCGATGTCAAGAACATTCCCGTCGGCCGCCTGGGCACGCCTCAGGAGTGTGCCAATGTCGTCACCATGCTGTGCAGAACAGGCTACATGACGGGTCAGAGCATCTTGTTGAGTGGAGGGCTCAAATAACACATTTCAGCTCGACAGCTCCACAGGCGGTAGAGCAGTGAGGGGCCTTGTGTAGAATCCTTTTCATCGAAAATACTACCTAATGCTACTGTTTGGTTGCCCGCACTATTCTCGTAGGACGTTCACCCCTGCGGCACGGCTCTCCGTTTAGGATATCAGCTGGCGCACAACTCCAGCAACAGACCTCGCGAGAACATCTCATTCACTACCTCGGAGACCGAGCTGCGCCCATCATTGCGGGCCACGGCGCAGCGCGGCCTCCCAGCCCCGAGGGCCACGCTGTCCCTCAGCATCATGCCACTCGTCCTCCTCCCGGTCTTCTACAACAACGTCGACGCTAATCGTCCTGAGGATACCGGTGGGAGGAGGGCTCTGGTGGAAATCACGAGCGCGTCGAACGTCCTGTCCTGTCGATTCTCGGTACCCAGGCACCCTGGCCCCCTGGATGATGAACATCGAGTCATGGGGATTGCCTTTGGTGCTGGGTGGACACGACGCTGGACCGTCAACCTGGTCACTTGGCGCAGCATGGTTCTCTTTGGTTTCGGTCTCTTCAGGCTTAGCTGGGCTACTCTGGGGCTGGAAAACGGCAGTGACGAATGCAGTGAGGAAAATCAAGCTGGCAAGAGAGTCAGTCGAGTAACCTTCCAAGAATCAAGTCTCACGTACAGGGCGGGGATGCTTGCAGTGACGCCAGGGGAGCGTTCGCCGTTGTCGTAGGCATAAGCGTCATAGACGTAGACGTAGACATCCACGTAATTGGTATAGACCTCGTTCCTACCGCCTTTGTTGTACAGTTCGCCAGAGTGGCGTGCCATATAGTAAGCATTCGAAAGTGCGTTACAGATGACACTGCTTCTCGTCAGTCGAATCCAGGCGGAAGTCTTGGCAGTCGATGAGCACTCACATCAGGTACAAGATGGCAACCAAAGCACAATGGCTTGTCGAGAATTGCTTTCCTGTGGGGCCAGGTTTTTCAAGAGCTGAAGCAACGAAGAGGAGCAAGAATGTTGTCGCCAACAACGCTCCATGAGCCCAAGAAAAGGCCCTTGCTAATTTGGGCGCTGCTGGTGACGGGAGCCAACCGCAATATAGCGGCCAGAACGAGATGATCAGGTAGGCGAGAACTAGAATGAGGGGCAGACTCAGGAAGCCACGCAAAGAGGAGCCTGTGTTTCGTGAATTACTGAACAAGACGCCGACAATCGAAACGGCGGACAATCCTGTCGCTATAGATGCGAAGAATTGACCGAGGCTGTAGAGAAGCCACACCGCACTCGACGCGGCAGCGAAGCTGATGAAGAGAGCAATAGCGATAAGCCCCGTGATCTAGCCACGAGTCAGCCAAACAACGTCTTGTGGAATGGTTCCCTTCCTTTCGTGTTCTTACCAAAGCGAGAACAATCAAAGCAAAGTTCAGGTTGAGGATGCGGTGACCTCGACGTTTGGACCACAGAATTCTGGCGACGAAGGACAGAAGAGCGATGATCATAATGCATATTGATACACCCAGCCCCAACTTGCGGTCAAAGTCATCTAGGGTCTGCCTTTCGTATTGCCGGGCATAGATGGAGCTCGTCATGATGCCTGGCTCTCGGAAGTGAGGATGACGGGGAGGTTGTGATTTAGTGATACTCCTGGCAATATAGCACCGGGCCGGATGCCAGAGGAGGGACACTATGCGATTGAGAGGAACGATGCCGTGGAGAGAATCGAATGCGAATCCAAAACAAAGAGGCACTGATACTGTCGTTGTTGTTGTTCTGGGAGAGACGAAGCAGCCATCGACGGGCACAGTTATTTGGGGGAGAAGTGGGAGAGGCGCAGGATGTAGTGAAGGAAGGACCTCTTCAGGTCCAGGATGGAAAGAGCCTGCTCTGGATTCAGTTGCATGGCACCTGCCTCGACCAGTGCTGTCAGGTTCCTTCCTAGAAAGAAGGCGAATGCGATTTCAGTCAGGAAGGCACAGAGCACAACAGGACTGGGAGCCCGACTTCTGCCAGCGACAGTCGGGTGGATCTAGAAGTCATGAGGTCGTTGCTTCAGTGAATGGGGTCGATTCGGTTGCGTGAGCTTCGACCCAAGCAGGAAGAGATCCAAATAAAGGCAGTCCATCATGGCGAAGAGCGAGCCGTCAAACAATTATCTCTTTCCTCGCAAGCGGCACAAAACGGCCCAAGACCAGCTCACAGGCTCACAGACTCATCGATACCACCTCGCCGTAGCCCCTACCTTAGCGAACCCTTCATTGCCAGCCTCCTCATGCCGTAGACGTACGAGTGACGCGAGAAAAGAAAGCCTCCAGATTGATCTCCTCTGGCCGACATGTTTGACGGCGCTACCGATGGGGCTGCAGAGGAAAGCAGCTGGGGAGGTGGCGGGTATGATCGACGGATGAGGGGATGCTTCCGAGCCCCTTCTCGAAGCTCTTGAGACACGCCCTGTGCGTGACATCGATTCGGGGCCACACGGGGCTGGTTTTTATGTACGACGAGACTACGTTGGAGGGGGGAGAGTCCTCTTCCTTTTGAGTCTCGACCAATCTTGGATCGTGGCGATGGGATTGTCACAGGTCACTTTTCTGGAGAGTTCCATCAAGCATGGACCTAAACGCTGATGAACCTGCAAACAGGCATGTAGCGTCGCATCTTTCAATCCAATCATTATGCTCGTATACAATTTTACATGCACTCTATGCTCGATATCCAGCTTGACAACACTCAGAACCGCGCCTCAACCTTGGCCTGCGTGTCCTGCAGCGCCCAGTCGCTGCTCGCCGTTCTGCTCCTGACCTTCTTGACTTCCTCCTTGGTGAACCCCCTCGCCTCGACGGCTGGGTTGTAGCCGAGGCCGTTGGCCCTGCCAACGGCCTTGTCGTCGGCGACGGGGGCCTCGGCGCCGTCGGCTCTCTTGTAGACGGTTACAACGACGGCACCGCCGAGGCCGAGGTTGTGCTGCAGCGCGGCGCGCGTGCCCTTGACGGCGCGGTTGTTGGCCCAACCGCGCAGGTGCCAGACGAGCTCGGCGCACTGGGCGATGCCCAGTGGCGCCGAGGGGGTGACCTTTAGAGATGAGGCCACCAGAGGGGTTGACGATGTAGCGGCCGCCATACGTAATATCGCCGGCGCGAACAAGCTCGTGCGCCTTGCCGGGCTTGGCGAGGCCGAGGGCGTCAAGGACGATGAGCTCGTTGGCGGAGAAGCAGTCGTGCAGCTCGACGACCTGGACGTCGCGGGCGACGTCGATGCCGGCCTCGGCGGCGGCGACGCGCACGGCGTGCTGGGTCATCTCGAAGCCCATGAGGTCGATGGCGCTGCGGGAGAAGAGCGAGGGGGCGTCGGTGGCCATGCACTGGCCGGCGATGAGCACGGCCTGGCTCTTGAGGTGGGGGCGGGCGTCGAGGAAGGCCTGCGAGACGACGACGGCGGCGGCGGCGCCATCCGAGGTCGGGCAGCACTGGAGCTTGGTCAGGGGCGCGTGGATCATGGGCGCGTCGAGGATCTGGTCGAGCGTGTAGACATCCTGGAACTGCGAGTACGGGTTGCGGGTCGAGTGCTCGTGGTTGACGCGGGCAATCTCGGCAAAGTCGCGGGCCTCGGCGCCGTGCTTCTCCATGTACTCGCGGCCGGCGTTGCCGAACATTTGCGCGGCGCCAGGGGCCTTGGTAATGCCGCGCGTCTCGGCCATCATCTTGACGGTCGTGCCGGTGGGGTTCTCGCGATCGTTGAAGAAGCTCTGCAGGCTGCCGGGCATCATCTTCTCAAAGCCGACGACGAGGACGCAGTCGGCAGCGCCCGAGCTCACAAACTGGCGGGCCATGGCGAGGCCGGTCGAGCCTGTGGAGCAGTTGTTGTTGACATTGTAGATGGGAATCTGGGTCATGCCAAACTGGTAGAAAACACGCTGGCCGCACGTCGAGTCGCCGTAGCAGTAGCAGGCCACGCCCTGCTCGACATCATCATAGTTGATCTGGGCATCGAGCATGGCCTTGACGCCAGCCTCAAAACCAAGTTCGGTGTAGTCGACCTTGCCACGGGGCTTGATGAACTTGGTCATGCCAACGCCGAGGACGTAGCTGGGAGCTTTGGGCTTGGGCGCCATCTTGTTGGGTTATTGGAAGGAGACAGGTGATCGTGTAGATGGCCGTGGATTTGGAAAATGAACTGGGTAGAGATGTATATGAGGTCCGTGATGAGCAAGAAAGGGCGGGTGACAATGTGAGTGGCAAAGGGGACGCCGAGTTGGAACAGCGACACGACGACTGATAAACCGTTTGGCCTACAAAGCCAGGATGAGGTTCTCCAGCGTGACGGACCTTTTCCCCACAGGCGCCGGACGCCAGGCCCGACTCGAACGATGCGGGGAGCCGAGGCCCCAACCGCCTCGCGACTCCCTCACGACTCCCTCGCCCCTGCCTCCCCCCCTTGACCCCGATTGTCCGACCTGTCCGACCTGCTCGCGCTCTCCATCAGACAGGTGAAGCCCACACAAGCCGGGATAGCTGGGCCAATCAGCTGGCTTGCCGAGGTAGATTTCCCCCCACCTGCCTCCCCGCAGTCTACAGCGAACTTGCCGTTTGGGGAATCCATATCGTGGAGCCTGCCTTGATGTGGGGTGCGCCTTCTTGCCGCCGTTGTCCCTGTGAAGGAAAGTCATCTCAACGACACGTGCCTGACACTTGAGGAAGGGAGCCAAGGTGAATACTGATGTTGCAAACCGAGTAGCTCCTTCTTTTGCTGCTACCCTAATAGCTAACACGACTCTGAATCATCGGCTTTTGGTGGCCACCTAAACTAAAACAATCGCTCGCCCAACTCTTCCGCCTGTGCCCCGAGAATCTTGTGCCCTTGACGACTGCGTCACATTGTACCAAAGTTGAGCCCTGTCGCCCACCCAAAAAAGTCCATTTACATAGAAGCAAAGAGGAGGTTGAAAAAGCAGTCAACATGAATCAAATGCGGAAGAAGAAAAAAGAAAAAAAAAGAAGTTGGTATCGTGCCTGCCTCCACCCCCCCCAAAAGATATCCTGCGTGTGCTGGGTTGGATTCTATGTTGTGCGCCAATCATCCGGCCATGCAAAATCGCCCCTTCTGTCCCTTGTCTGGCTCTCTTCCTCCTGCACCATTCCCATGGTGCATGTTGAAAAAAAAATCCAACCATCTCCAACAAACAATGCCTCAACATTCGTATCAAACCATTCGTACCAAACGAAACGGAGGAAACGACCGCCTTGACGACAAGCCACGGCGCTTCATGACGACCACAGCGGCATGATCTGGTCCCAGTACAGATTCCAGCTCGGGTCGAGGCCCTCGAGGTCCCAAATCATGGTCTCCTCATCCTGCGTCTGCCGTCCAGTCATCATCAGCCCAGTTCCACCCCTGCCAGAGCTTCCACCCCCGATTTACACTTACCGGCGCCGCCGCCATCGCGTTGGGGTGCAGCATGTAGTGTGGAGGCTGCTGGCCTGGCACCTGGGCCTGGAGATACGGATGGTTGTTGTTGATCGACAGCGGCGGCGGGGGGTGAGGCAGCGGGGGATGGACGAGCTCGGGGTTCGTGTTAGTGGCGCGCATGCACGTCTCGAGCACGACGGTCAGCATGCGCCGGATCTCGTGCAGCTTCTGCTCGTGTGCCGTCGTCTGTACCGACGCGAGGACGACCGACAGGGCGACGATATCCTTGACGTCGCCGCCGCCGACGTTGCGCATCAGCAGGTCCATCGACTTGTCGACTGTCTTGATGAGGCGCACCGGTGACCAGAGCGCTGGCGTCTCGGCCCGGTACGACCGCGCGTCGTCAAACGGCTCCGGCGACAGCGCCGCCAGCTTGAGGTTGCTGTAGGGGCCCGCGTTCGACTGGAGGCCGGCACGGATGTAGTAGCACAGGCTCAGCGACGCCTGCAGCATGTCCCGCTTGAGCACAAGGTGGTACATGTCACTGACGCTCTGGTAGTGCGCCAGCATCGGGTCGAGCTCGTCGAGGTACTGTAGGATCACCATGGACGACGTGAGGTAGGCCCGCGTGATCTGCGCCGGCGCATCCACCGAGCCCAGCGCAAAGGGCCGGTACAGCGCCAGCAGTGGCCGTCGGATGTGCATGTCGAGAACGACCCGGCACCGCCACATCTTGCTTTGCTCGCTGTCGCTCAGCGAATTGTTCCGCGGGAAGAGATAGCCAATGTCCTCCGAGATCAGCTCGAGCTTGGCCCCGAGCTCGAGCACCTCGTTGTAGTCGCGGATCGAGTCGATGCGGTTGAGCATGTGCACCACCTTGAGACGAATGCCGACCGTCATGGCCGCGTAGCATTGAATCTGGTTATCTGTGCCATGGTCGATCGGTCGGCTCGGGGGCAGCTCGACCATCTCGGGGAAGAGCTCCTTGTCGTCGAGGTTGCTGGGCGGCTTGCAGGTGAAGTCGCCTTCCCGGATCGAGCAGGGCAGGCTGCAGACGAGTGAGACGTGCAGATCGAGTTCAAGGATGGAGAACCACATTCTCCTCCGCATCTCGGCCGAGAAGACGGGGATTTGGGGTTCGAATTCGGAAGGATCCCGGTGCATCCCCATCGTCATGGCCATGCGGAGAATGGCGCCCAATTGCGTCCACAAGACCTGTGGCCTCGCCGCCGTCATGCGCATGGCTTGCAGGAGCAGCATCTCCGTTTGTAGCGTCGTAAAGTCAATCAGCTGTTTGCCCTTTAAGCTGTGGAGCCAGGACTTGACGAGCTCGCAGGCCGTCGGGATGTGGACGCCGTCAAACTCGGTGCCAATGCTCTTGCGCAGGCCCTTTGACTTGGCCTCGAACCGCGAACCCGTGGCGCAGATGGCCAGAAGCTGGGGCAGAAATGTGTCGCCCTGCAGTTTTCCGTCCCAGTACATCTCGTACTGGGCCATGAAAGTGGGCATGTGTATGATCCTGTAGATCGTCTCGGTCGTGTGTATGTACGACCCGAGCAGCTTGTCGCAGACTTCGCGCTTGGGCAGGACGTGTTGCATTCGACCCCGCACCGGCGTCGTCGACTCGACGTACACCGTCATGGGCGTGAGCGACTCCTTGTACGAGTCGAGGATCAGCTTGTGCAGTCGCGACAGGGCCGACATGAGATCGCGAAACTCGGCCGAGTCAGCGTGGGTGGCCAAGAACTCCTTGGCTTCGTCAAACTGTCGGCAAAGGGTCAGTGCGATTCCAACAGGCCAGCGGTGGATCACGCGACAAGGTTGGGCATGGTATGATCTCTTACCAGGTTCATGAGGACGCGCACACTGCTCTGACCGAAGAACCGCGTCTGGAGAGCTCCGTGCTTGACGGTCAGCCCTCGTATCGTGGCCGGCGAGAGCGGCAGGCGGGGCATCTCGGCGGCCGAGGGGCTCTTGATCAGCACATGGTTTTCCAGGCGATCGACTCGAGAGGCCAGCTCCTGCAGAGGCGACGCGCCATTGATATCCCCGTTGCGCGCGGACGAAAAGGGAGGGCCCAGGTTGGCGCTCCCGGCGTTGTTTCCTTGAACCCCCACTGGAGCACAGTTGCGCTTCGCCGGCCGTTGCGCGTCGCTTGGCTCGGCGTCGGAGGCGTCGGAGAGGGCAGACGAGTCGTGTTCTGCAGAGTACCTGCAGTTTCGATGCGATTTCTGGCATTGTGCGCACGGCAGGTTTCGATCGCACTTGAGCTTGCGCTTGCGGCACTCGGTGCACGACTTGACGGGTCGCGGTCGCTTGACGCTGCGGGCGGCCGAAGGGTTCGTCGATGTCGGCGTCGAGGCCGTCGCATGGGCCGCCGAGTGTGGCACCGGCGAGTGCATGGGCAGCCCTTGTGCATCGTAGGCGCTGCTGTTCGGCGAGAGCCCCATCGGCGCAACGGCGGCGGCGGCATGGGGAGCCAGACCAGGCGTGCTGACGTCGGGCGCGTGGTTTGCCGACGGCGTCGCCATGTCGGTCACATATGCAGACATGCCTGGAGCCCTTTGACGGCTGGGCAGCCGTGATCTAAAGGTTTGCGACTGCAGTGTAGTAGTCTGAAGGCCCCCCCGTAGGATTGCGCACGCGAGATGGGCAGCGAGCGCCTCAGGCTGGGCGACAGGGCCTGGCCTGGTGCAAGTTACACGGTACGGCTTCTCCCCCCCTCCTCGTCCCCTCCTTTTCCCTCAATGAAGACTGTTGCTCGTAGCGTTTGAAGAGCTGCGACGTCGAGCTTGATCATTGGGGCCCAGGATGCACACGCAAATGGGCGAGTCATTCGCTGGGCGCGACGATCCGAAGTAGTGGTTGGGGGTGTGGCACCTCGGAGCCCAAATCTCTGGGGAACCTGTGGATTGCAGGAGGAGAAGCAAATCGAGTCATTCGTGGCTGTTGAATGACAGTGCACCACCGACTGGGCCTGGCGGACAGGAAGCTGTATGTCGCCCAGAAAACGATGGAGGAATACGAGCGTGGGCAGTGGGTGGTCGCCGGTATTGTCGAGATCGGTCGTGGGGGTCCGATGCGACGCGCGGGGCGACGAGTGTGTGATTTGCAAGTTTTTGGAAATTTGGTGTCCGTCCCGATTGGCAAGGGGGAGCGAGATGATGTATGTGGCGAGAGAAGAGGTCCCAGGACAAAGGAGCTCGGGAGGAAAAAAAAAGACGGGATGGACAGATGAGACGAATGACTGAACAAAGGGAGAAGCTTTCCTCGGTCGAGCACGAGGAGGCGGATGATCCAAGCTTCTTCTGTCGTCGCGACACAGTTGGTTGTGTATGTTGCCTTGAGGAGGAAACAATCGGAGACGAGGTACAGAAGTACCAATGCCAGGAAATGCAACAAGATGGGCGCCAGCCCGGGCAAGAGAACGTAGCTCGACGACGGAGTGGTCAGCTCTGCGCCAGGGTTATGATGGCTCGATGGTTAGCGTTGCTTCACGCACACCACACCCCCCCTATTTTTCTTCCGTCACCACGCTCTTTCGGACGGTAGTGAGGTTCCTCGTTCGATATCCCCCTCTTCCCTGGAGGTGTGCTGTGTGTGTGTGGTCGGTGAGGACAAGTTGCTACATGTACACGGGAATATCGGGCAGAAAAAAACAACAGCTGCCGCTTGCGCCATGTTGGATGGCATGTCCGAGATGGG